TTAATACATTCTATACATGTTGTAAAGTTATAAACAAGATTATTCAAAATAAATACCTATCAATTACATAAGGTAATGCATAAAGTTCTAAAAATGTACAGCAGTCTACTGAAGACCACTGTCACTAAAGCAGAGTTTGCTAGGACAGAATTACAATGCAAAGAATTCACAGGTGGAAGGCAACACAGCTGCACAACTGGAAAGAAAACGATATGTGGCTCTTTGCAATACTGGTACATGACACAGGTTAACCGCGAAGAGAAGCATTTGTTGTCTTCTGAATTACAGTTTGAGAGCTAACTAGGCAGTGCTAAGAAACTAACTCCTTATGCGTAAGCCCCATGAGGAACAGTTAATTTTACTGACATCTTTTTGAAAATCATATCACCTGCCACAGAATGTCTCTGGAAATCAGGCACAAAGTAACTACCTTTGCCTGAAAAATGTGTATCACAAAATTTTCCAAAGGACATCTTTTCTTAACAAAAATACAAACCCAATGCAAAATAATTGAAGTTTGCCTACAGTCTGAGAGGTAACCCTATTAATGGCTAGGCGCAAACTACTTTCACTCTGCACAACTGAGATTTCCCCTTCAAAAAATGTAAACTTAAATCATGCAAAGAGCATGTCTTAAACTGCATCATTTCTTCTTGTCTATAATGCTGCAAACAAGGCTTGTCTGTGTGAGAAAGTACAAAACCATCTACTAATCAAATGAACAAAAATTAGTCACATTTTTTCTCCAACAATGAAAATAACATTGAAAAAAAGAAGAATAATGAAAAGTATTATTTTTCCTGATGTTTCTTTCAGGTTTGCTTCTTTATAAAATTTTGCAGAGTAAAGGGCTGGGGATTTAGCTCAGTGGCACTGCCCTGCCTGGCAAGCACAAGGTCCTGAGTTTGATTCTCAGTAAACCCACCCCCCCCAAAATTTGCAAGGTATATTGGTGTTGCCAAATTCTAGTTCAATTCAAGTTTAGCTTCTAGTTATTTCTGTTAATCGAGAAACAACCTGTCATCACTATTCAGAAAACACTGTTATCATTAACAGAATATATGCTTCAGAAAGAATAGAAATCCCAAACAAAGGATTTGGGTAGTCTATCCTCATCTGATATTACTTGAAGTTCATTCACAGAAACATGTATTCGAGTCTATACAGCAGAAACTGTGCATTAATGTAATAGTGTAAGTTGTATCAGGACCAGTTCTGTACGTAACATACACAGTAAAGCCCTATGGTCTGCAGACCTGTAGTGACACCACAGGTTACCTGTATGAATGGTCTGTAACACTTCCTGTGTCACTTGTGTGTTGGGATGGATGCAGTGCTTTTTTTTTTGGTACCGGGGATCGAACCCAGGACCTTCTACTTGCAAGGCAGGGTGGTGCCACTGAGCTAAATCCCCAGCCCTGCAGTGCTTTCTTATGTTCTGCTACATTTTAGGTTTTGATCCTACAGTTTCATTCCTACCATATTCCAAATCACCTAATGGTCAGAGTTGATTAATTCAAATATTAAAAGTACACTGTACAATTACATAACTTGCATCAGTCTATGTACTGCGGGGCTTAAAGAATCTGACAAACCATCTGTGAAAAGATAATGTAAAATGCACAATATAACTGTTTTGAATTAGATTATGGCAAACATTGGATTATTATGGCTGTAACAGTTGAGTTGAA